CAGCCAGGAAAGAGAGACTTTGCTTTCCTGGACCCTGAGCAGGACTTCCGCTCCTACTGGGCTCTCAGAGCGGCCAATGGTGTGGCGGAGCGGGGAGGGGGGACAGGTGTTGTGGGTTTTCCAGCACCTTGAGCTGGACCCTCCCACTTGACAACAAGGTCGCTGGATTTGTGAACTGCCCCAGTCAGAGACGCCTCTCAACTGCCAGGCCCTAGGAGGAAATTCTGACATCAGGTACTGAAGGCATCATCGGAACTTCACCAAAAGAAATTTGAAGCCGACAAGCTGATGCATCTCAACTTTTATTAGCAGGGAGGAAAGCCCTCCTGGGTTCGGCCCCTTCCTCAAAGCATTGACGTCAAAGTTTATCTTTGTCCTCAAATATTTTTCCACCTAGGGCAAAATTTTAGACCTAAAATACATTCCCCTGTTTTTCTTTCTTTCTCTTTTTAAAACTGCTTTATTGAGGTATGCTTGACATACAAAAAGCTGTAGATATTTAATGTATACAACTCGATGTATTTGGAGATGAGTATACACCTGTAAAACCATCACTACCATCAATGCCATAAACATATCCATCACTTCAAAAAGTTTTCTTTCACCAGCTTTGTTTTTTTTTTCCTATTGTGGTAACAGCACTTAACATAAGATCTACTCCTTTAGCACATTTTTCAGTATACAACACAGTATTGCTAACCATAGGCCCTATGTTGCACTACTTTTCTTTAATTATAAATATTCTCTCCATCCATACTCCTAGGACCTACCTGGAACAGGTATTTTCAGAGCTAGGCCTGAGTAGTTCTTTTTCTTTCACCTAAATTTTTATTTTGAAAAATTTCACAAATACATGCTCGTTTCAAAAACTTCCAATCGTAGTCCCCCCACCCTCATTATTAAAAAAAATTTGTTTTAAACTAAAGCTGAGGCTGGCAAAAAGAACTTCAGAAATCTACAGGATGATCTCTATTTATTCCTGGATAGCGGCCTTTCACACAGAATTCTCAACTCTCACCCACATATTTAAAAAATAAATGAGTCTTTTGATTGGCATTTGGAGTATTGGAACCTGAACCTCGGCTTTATTTTTAAAGCCTGTTCCCATTTGTATTCACAGACGAGCTTTGCTCTCTGGCTCGTCCTGCCTTTTGACATTTAGGTGTTCCCCGAGGTAATAAGTGGCCCAGATTTTAGTCTCTGAAGTGGAGATGGGATACCTCCAACCTACTTCCTGGGTTACCACTCAAGGGTTTTCGCATGTACAACTCTGTATTTAATAGTATGTAGTCGTTAATTTGGTTTCACGTTTTTCACATTTGAAAGTGCCTGTAAAAATGGTTTGTTTCTACAGAAGCTTCTTGCGAGTGTCCCTGGGAGGATGGACTTTGGCTAATGCATCCATTCGCACAGCTGTTGTAGACTTATTGTGACCAAGGCATCTGTATCTGTGGCCCCCAACCTCCACCCCAGACCTTCCTGGTGGATGTAGGCAGAATTTTCAGGGCCATTTCTGCATAATTCTCTCCCCTTCCAATTTTCATTTTGAAAAAATTTCAAGCCTTCAGAAAAATAGAATTGTAGTACAACGAGCACCCATATCTTACAGCTTAATTCACTAATTATCATTTTGCCATATTTGCTCTTCTGTCTGTATCTCCCTCTCTCTCTGTCTCTCTCTCTCTCTCTGTCTCTCTCTGTCTCTCTCTCTCTCTCTGTCTCTCTCTGTCTCTCTCTCTCTCTCTGTCTCTCTCTCTCTCTCTCCCCCCCCCTAATCATTTGAAAGTAATTTGGAGGCATTATGACACTTCACCTCTAAATATTTCAGCCTATATTTCCTATGAACAAGGACATTTTTCCTATATATATATATAAACAAGGCCATTTTTACATCCAAGAAATTTATACTGATACAAAAAATATTATCTAATATATAGTCTATATTTAAATTTCATCAGTAGTTCCTCTACTGTACTTTGTATCATGCTTTTTTCTTGATCTGGAATCCAATCTAGGATCAATATTGCATTTAGTTGTCATGTCTCTTTAGCCTCCTTTAATCTGTTTCTCCAACGAGTCTGGTTCCTTGTTATGGGAAATAGTATTTAGAATCCAAAGGCTAGATGGGTTCATTCTGAGCAACTCCTTTTAAGCTAGGATATGAATTAGCTGTTGAGGTGACAATGGCAACGACACTTAATCAGAATTGGCTCATAGCTTTCTGCCCCATCTTCTACCATGTCAGGAGGGCATCCTAGAAGTACCCGGTGCTGGGTGTGGCAGTTGAATTACGAATCAGACAGATAGCTATCTGACTTCGCACTCTCCCCACCCAATATGACCTCCAGAAACTTACGTAAAGTCTCTAAACCTGTTTTCTCATCATTAGAATGAAAAATCATTGTACTGATTTCACTGTGTTAAGGTAAAGATTAAAGAAGGTAATATGGCAACATTCTCTGCATGTTCATTTATTCAACATAGATTTACTGAGCATGCCTTTTACTGTGCTACATGCTGGAGATGTAATAGTGAACAAAACTAGTGCATGATCCAGTTCTTAGAAAGTTCACCATTTCGTGGGGGGTGACCCCCCAAAATGAATAAGCTACAGGGTCTGCCTTGCCGTCTAGAGGATTATAACCTGGTTCAGGTTATATTCATTTTGGTGTCCTCAAGGCCTAGTGCAGTGTGTGGGCACACAGGAGGAGTTTAACACATGCTGGTTGGACTCTTTTGGAACTGACTTTAGGACCAGCCAACTCCAGGAATTTCTTGGAAACTCTTACTTTACTTGGACCCTTAATGGTATTCTGAAACGGAGTCCTTGGCAGGGGAAATCTGTAATGGATCGCTTTTGACGAGTAGCAGAGCTTACGGAGATTGAACAGCTAGCCACCAGAGATTTTCAAAGAAACCACAAGTAAAGTCCCATGTTCTGTTAATCAACTGATAAATACTTTCTGAGGGCCTGCTATGTCCAAGACATTGTTGAATTAAAAATGTAGAGAAGTGTAAGACTCAGTTCCAATCTTCAAAAGCTTAGTCTAACCAGGGAGACAAGAAAAGTAAGCACATAGAGTGCCCAGTGGAAAAGAGAACTCCCCACAGAAGAGGTCAGAGTGGGGACAAGATGACCATCAACTTTCCAGTAGAGTAAACGAAACCTTGGGGATATTGATAGGCCTTACATAGGTAGGGAGAGAGAGGGATGGATAATATAGGGGGCCGCCTGAGCAAAGGTGTCCAGCTGGAACTCTAGGCCAGTTGGGTTGAACTAAACAAACACTGGGTTGTGCTTCTTGCTCTGGTCAGAAAAGCATACCCAGTCACTCGGATGAACCACAGGCAGCAAACTCTAGAACGCTAAGTCCTTGACTATCATTCAAATCTCTAGTAAGAAGGATGGAGAAAGATGCCCTTGATGGCAGTTCACAAGGGGACCATCAAGGGCGAAGAAGGCACGTGCAAGCTGAAGCAGCTCAGATGAAGCCACACAGCATGGTGGTGAAGACTAACAACTCCATGGTTTTATCTGTGTGACCTTAGACACGTTATTTAACCTCTCTGAGACTCAGCCTCCTCCCTTGTTAAGTGTGGATAATGATGATATCTACCTGAGAGGCCTTTGGGGGGTTTAAGTAACAATACATGGAACAGCACCTGGCTTACAGAATACAGAATAAATATTGGGTAGAATTATTCCCCCCAAAACTTTCCAAAGGTCTCAGTCCACCTAATTAGAGATGCTCAAGCTGAGGGACCTTCTACAACGTCACACCCACACTCCTCATTTCCCCAGGAGGCCACTGAGCTCAGCATCATCCAGAGCCAGCCAGGGCTAGACCCCGGGCTTCAGCCATCCGGCTCCGCTCTGCCCGAGAGCAGATGGCAAGGAGAGCAGACAAAGCGAAGCAGGAGAAGCAGCAACTTGCTCTTGAACGGGCTGGCAGCCCCCCTCTCCCCTCCCAGCCTCACCCTGGGCTGGGAGCGCGTGCTGGGAAGAGGATTAAATCAATGCCAATTCACATCTCTCCAGAAGCTGGCTCCCTGATCCGAACTAATAAGCAAATCATTAGTGAATTAGGGCTGGGGAAGGCTCGACGCAGGGCTCCTTAACTCCAGCTGTAAGACAAGCGGAAAAGTCCCAACCCCCTTCCTTAGTGACCTCAAAATGCTCACACCAAGGAGATTTCTGTGTTAAAGCAGCAAGTTCTTCTTCAGTCCCAACCTGGCCAAGCCCCAGAATCCTTGGGGACCACCAAGGGCAGCCAGCACCTTTCTTTACTCTGAATGCTGGTTACCAGACCCTGTGCCATGACACCTCTCTCTTGCCAGGCCAAAAACCCTGTGTTCTGTGCCATCTCTAGGTCTAGAGACCTGCGGAGCCAGGCATGCCAAGATGTGTGCCCCCCTTTTCCCCCCTCCTTGGGCACAAACTTGGCCCCTTCATTATTTCCCTGTGAAAGCCCATTATCTCTCATTTACATCTAAACTAGCTTTTCATACTATTTTAAAGGCCGTTCCTCCCCTTCTGTAATCTCCCTGCGAATGAATTAAAAGTTGATTCTTGAAACGCACAAATCTTGGGGGCAGTTTCTTTTTCCTTCTTATTTAAATCATATGCTGTTTTGGACTAACCCTTTTATTTCCTCCCAATTATGATTTCTGGTGTGTTTTCCAGAGCTTTACAACATGGCATCTGATTATACACAAAGCTTCAGAATAAAGCCCTGTTTTTCCCTTCATTAACGACACAAAGGATGGCTGTGTGATCCACACAGCACTTTGTGATTTAATGCAGCTTTACAGTCTAAATCGCACCCAGCTTGGCCAAAGCAGATTTGGGAGTGAATCAACGCATTTTCTTGCTGCCAGGAGCTCCCTTGCAGATTCCAGCAAATTCTTTCACCACACGGAATTAGCATTTGATTAAGCTCTGCAGACACGTTCAAACTTTTACCACTGAGCGCGGGCAGGGCTGCAGTAATCCCCGAGAGGGGGAAGGCACCAAGAGCAGCCGCTGCTACTTCCCATCTCTCCCACCCCCATCCCTAAAGGGTACGCTCTACAAAAAATTGTGGGAGTGGTAAGTGATAGGTCGCATATGAGAGAGGGGGTGCCAGAAAATGTGAGGGCTCCAGAGAGAGCAGGATGGGGGGCTGGGGGGAGGAACATCAGATGCGAACTTGGGTCAGAACCACTCTTTCTGCCCCAAACTGGCGCTAGACAGGCTCTCTCGGTCAGGCTCACTAGGAAGGCACTTTGATTTTATGATTCTCTGACGCAGGGTAATGTGACCTTCAACCAGAACCCGCCAGGGCCCCAGGCCTGAGGGAGGGGGGAGGGTCTTTCTCGGTGTTCTTGCCAGGCCCTGAGGTCCGGTTGGCGGGGTTTGGTGCCCCTCCCAGCCACCTTCACCCAGACAGGCTTGTGATTCACTTCCAGGCGAGCTGCGAGTTATGCCTCCCAACAGCCTGGGTTTAAAATCTCGTCCGTTTCCATTATGCAAATATGAGCAGCGGAAGTTTATCAAACTTGGGCTTTGTACCTAGAAAGCAGGCGTGCCAGCATGGGGGGCTATAAAGCCTTTATTGCCACAACTTTGGGGTGATTGCTTCCCTCGCAAATGCCAGGAGCACGATTGAATTATGCAGGTCTTCCCAAACAGGTGGCAATAAAAACTTTACAGCTTCCCACACCATCACATATTTTGTTTATGCCTCTTAGGTGTCTTATTTTGTTGCAGTTTTTTTTTGTGGACCTTTCTGTTACTATGGAAACGGGAGTAGCTGGAGAGTGTTCCGGGATACCTGGTAAGGCAAATGCAAGGTAAGTCAATTATTATCAGGGTGCTCCAATTTTATACTCGGAGGAAATTACTGAGGTTGTGTAATGAGGGGAACCAATTAGCTCTGAAACATCACAGCCATTCCAGAATCCCACAGCATCCTTGTAGGGAAGGAAAGGAACATGTGGATTTCCCACATTTTGTCCATTTTACAGATAGTGAAACAGAGGTAGAAAAAGCATCTTTTCAGCAGTCAGATAGCAAGTCTGCCACATAGGAAGAAAAGCAAAAGCAAAACGAGTGTATCTTCTCGGTGCCTGTTTGTCTATGGTCCTCCTAGAGCTTCGAGACCAAAATTAGGGACTTATTTTTGGTAATCTGAGGTCAGGCTGCAGTGACATCTGCTGGCAAAAGTGTAACTGGCGAAAGCGGGTTTTTCTGTTGCTGGCGGCGGCCAAGCCAGGAGATGGTGGTCCGTCTATACGGGGGGCTTATGGATGGTGTAGTTGGGAAAGATGGTTGCGTGGCCCTTCCTGAGTGTGATACCGAAGACAGGCCCAGCCAGCAGGGTCCAGACTCCAATGGTTCCAGATGCCTTTCAATTCCAGGAGGTAAAATTTGCCAGTAAGTGAGAGGAAATATCTGAGGTAGATCTCCTGGTTTCTGTTGTTATCAAGAAGAGGTTCTCTGATTTGGTCATCCTGTTCTGCTCTCTCCTTTGGGGCTGGGACTTCCATTCCATATATAAGAGGGGGTGAAGAAGGCAGGTAAGAGAGTTAGGAAGAATCTGAGTGACTCCCACCGAAGCCATCAGCAACCACAGAAAGGAGGGGCCCTGCAGAGGAGATTTTCCTTGGGGTGACCCTACGTAGACAATGGAGTTCCCTCATCGGAATGAGGAAGTGTATCTAAGAGGTTATTGGAGATGAGGAGGACTTGACTAAGTCCCATATGCCCTGAGTCTTGGTTTCCTCATTTAAGGAAGGCCAAATGTAATACCTATACTAGTTCCTTCCCTCAGGGATGTGTCAAGAGTAAGAGTGTGATAAGCATCAATGTTTGTAGAATTTTACACTCAGCTAAGGGCAGTCATGCGTTCCTGTTCTGTCAAACCCATTTCCCAGAGATGTACTCTTCAAGGATGTCTGATCCCCTGGGAGGCTCTGCCCGACCATCGCAGAGTCCTCTGTGGCAGTACTACTCAAAGAGTGGTCCGAAGACCACTGCTGATTCGGGAAGAAGTCATTACCTCTTAGTGACAAGATAATTACACAAACTGAGAATAAGTATTTAGAAACTCAGCAATACGACACAATCATTTTACACCGGTTGAATCCAAATACTAAAACTTTGGGCTTTTTAAATTTCACTGTTTTCCCCCGTAATTTATTTTTACTATATTTCACCAAAGATTTGTCTATGACAGATTGGGAAAACAAAACAATAAAAAGCAATTGGTCCCTCACCACAGATAGTTTGAGAAGCACTACTCTGTGGGGTCCCACGGCCACCCTCCTAGAGATCCTTCTGCCGGGAGATCGGAGGAGGATGCGCAAAGCTGCTTTCTCAGTAAATTAAATTATGAATTATGGACAGAGAGCCCTGCTCCACGCAGGCGGCTGTGCTGGCGATGGCTTGTGTAGGACATCCGCACGGCTGTTGGTGCTGACTCTCAGGCCTCCCTGCTCTCTCAGCCTTGCCAGGCCACGCCTGCCTCCTGGCCCCCCCCCCGCTGGGAACTCTCTCCCTATCAATCTTCCCATGCTTTGAAAGTGCGAAAAATGAGCCCTTTCTCAGCCCCCCTTTTCTTTTAGTCCTAAGTGAACCTGAGCACATCGCAGAAGCTATCGAACAGGCAAATGAGATTTCATGATCTAGTTCATTAGGCTGTGAATCCCTGGGCCCTGCCATCCGCAGAGACGCTGCTGCGGCTCTGCTCGCATTTCCGTGGGGACACACTCTCTGCACTATACCCATTAGTGCTGTCCGAGGCCCCCAGGTGCCTCGCCCTACAGTGCCTTATTTACACCCCTCGTGCAGCCCTCCTGCTTCTTGGGGCTGAAAAACTGGCCTGGGGATAATTTTGGCTGTGGGGGTGGGGTGGAGGGTCTTATGACTTGGGGCAAATGATCTCGCAGCCTCACTCTTCTCATTTGCACAGTGCATATAATATCTACATAGTGCAAGTTAAGTTGTTAGGAGTACTTCCTGAGACCCTATAAGGGTTCTGAAAATATTATTCATATCTGATTATCACTGTTTTCTAATTTTTGACTTTGTGGTCTTGGGAAATTCAACCTAGAGCGTCCATTTTTTCTCATCTGTAATACAGAGATTACAAGGATCTCCTTCATAGGCATGTCGTAAGGATGACATGAAATGATGCTGGGGGTCAGGGGAACACGCACGTGAGAGTTCCCAGCATTTTCCTTTCTCCTCCCACTCAAGAGGTTGATCACGTCAGGCTTCTTCTGTCCTGTCTTTTCTGATTTGCCCTACTCTGGGAGGGGTACAATCCTTTGTGTACCCTGTTCCCACCACAACCTAGTGACTCCCTTTAGTGGGCTAAGGAGAGGGCACGTTGTTCAGGCAAGAGGGGTCTGTTCTTGTAAAGCAGGATGGGAAGGAAGTGTGTGCCTGTGGGTAACTGCACATGCGTGGGTCTCTGCCACTCCCCCCAGTGAGTCACCTGAGCTCAAAATGTCAAGAACACTACTTTCCTTGGGGGTATTGTCAGGTATTTTAGCAAATGCAGGCCACCCCAGGAAGCATCAGCTACCAACTTCTACCTAAGAATACACATCTGACCAGCTACGTGATTCAGCTTTTGATTTTTCTGTTTCTTAAAAGTTGACCTCACCTCCAAGATTGCCTAGAGCCAATTTATTTTTCAAGTACAATGGGCAGTCACTTTTACTTTATATTACTAATTGCATAAATTATCTATTTTTCTCTCCCCACCTTTTTTTCTGGCAGAACATTCCCCACAATCTTTCACCTAAGCTAGCCTGCCTGGGTGACTCAAACATTTTAAAATAATGAAATAAATATGATCCTGAGGAAGAGCAGCAATAAATCAAGCCATTATATTAATTATTGTCATGATTGGAGTTCTCTAGAGCTGAAAGGCAATGTAGATGACACATATTTTAACACCTATTTAATGTCAAACTTAGTGCTTTTAAATCTGCTCTGCATTTTATTTGACTCGTTCTTCTACAAAGTTGCTCGTGCCACTGATAATTCTAGAAAACCTAATTGAGAACTACTAGCTGCTAAATGCTAAGCTCACAGTGGGTTACCAGCTGGTATGTACCCCACAATGTGCTAGAGGCTGGAGGCTAGCGACTACTGCTTAGGCCCCACTCCCATGTTCCAGTATGCATTGAAGCTGCCTTTCTTCTGTAAATCTTGGATGCTTTTAGCCACATTCTGGGTATTCCAGGTACTAGGGCTGCCAAACAAATGACGTTCAAACTTAGTGGCCTAAAACAACCATTTATTATGCTCGCAGATTCTGTGGGTCAGGAATTTGGACAGAGCACAGTAGAAATGACGTCTTTGCTTCATGATGTTCGGAGTCTCAGCTGGAAGACTCAAAGGCTGGAAGCTTGTACACTCACGTCTGGTGGTTGATGCTGGCTGTTGGCTGAGGCCTTAGCTGGCTGTGGTCTCTCCGTGTGGTCTGGGCTTCCTCACAGCATGGTGACTGGATTCCAGAGACAAGTGTCCTGAGAGAAAGCCAGGTGGAAGCTGTATCGTTTTTATGACCTAGACTTGGAAGTCACATAGCATCACTTTTGCTGGACACTATTAGCGAGAGCAGTCATGGGACACAGACTCCACGTCTGATGGGAAGTGTAAGATGTTGGAAGAACACATGGGACCATAATAAGCGCATTTTTTGAAAACACAATCACACACTGGGGCTGTCCTTGGTGAGGTCCTGTCCTCTTTCTTGGTTGAGAGCTGTTGGTCATGGCCTTCTGGTTGGAAGGAACAGAGACTTGACCTATTGCCCTGATAACATTCTACAGTGGTAGAAATATGGATTTTGATCACACAGCCAGACTTAAGGTAACTACCGGAATGACTGTTTACAAACTCAGTTTGGATTAGGACATTTTCCTGTTGTCTTAGTTCATTTGGGCTGCTACAACAAAGTATCACAGACTGGGTGGCTTCAGACAACAGGCGTTTATTTCTCACAATTCTGGTGGCTGGACGTATGAGGCCAGGGTGCCAGCATGGTCAGGTTCTAGTGAGGGCCCTCTTCCAGATTCCAGACTGCCGACTTCTTGTTGTATCCTCACAGGGCGGAAGGGAGGAGAGAGCTCTGGAGTGCCTTTTGTAAGGGCACTAATCCCATTCACGAGGGCTCCACCCTCATGACCTAAGCACCTCCTAAAGGCCCCCACCTCCAAATACAATCACATTGGGGATTAGCTTTCAACATATGAATTTTGGCGGGACACAAACATTCAGTGCATAGTACTTGCTTAAAGTACTTCTGATGCTTTCCCATTGGGCCTATGAAAATAACGCAAGTTTCTCAGTGGGAGCTTATGAGGCCTGCATTTCCAATCACTCACTCTCCTCCCATGCTGAGCTCCACTTTGCATCTTGAACCATCTCTCGCCTGTGGGCTTTGAACAAAGCATTGCCTCTACAAAATGGTGAGTAATTTAGAACACTTATCCACCAATTCCTTCCCTTGTCTAGATGTTCAGATCTTGGGCTCTGAAGGATCTAGCCCCTTGGAGACTTGAAAATCAGCCATTATTCCCCCCAAATATTCCCCATGCCAGAATGGCTGGGCCAGGAGTGGCTTGTAACCTCAGCCACAGGCCAAGTCAGAACCAGCCCATCTTCTATGACTTTCTGGAACAGTACTGTCCAATAGAAATACAAGGTGAGCCATAAATGAGAGCCATGTAAGTAATTGAAAATTTCCTAGTAGCCACATTAAAAAGGATAAAAAGAAACAGGTGAATTTAATTTTATTAATATCTTTAACCCAATATATCCACAATAGTTTCCA